ATATTGACCCCAATCAAGAAAGTTTCACGCTTGATAACTAATAGGAATAATATGTCTTCATTTATTTTAGTGCTGTCAAATGCACACTGCTCTCAAAACAAGCTGTATGTCTGTGTACCTCGTTCTCAAGTATTGATGTTGATTTGAGAGGCTATAAGCATAGAAGAAGGCTTAAATGTGACTTGTATCGGTGAAAAGAACATTTAATTACAGCAAACAGAATTGTGATACGTCGGATCTGTATTGAATAACCGAGCTTGATAGATTGACTCCGTTGTTCTTCCGGTTATCTCTCAATCATAATCATTATAAATGGCATGAGAATGAAACCGTTTTTTTTCAGATTGTTTTTCATTTGTGTGCATTTTTCGTTTTTGCTTTCATTGTTTATATTTGTGTACAATTTTTACTTTTGTTTTATCGTTTACATTTTTTTTTTCAGTTTTATTTGCGTTCATTTTAATATATTTGTAAATACAAAATTTTATACAAATTTACAAATTTTGAAGAGCTGATCAAACCACAAATTGCATTGTTTTCATTTATGTACACTTTAGTTTTTATTTTTTATTTTTTTTTTCCATTAGTATTCAGTTTTCGTATTTTGTTTTTTGTTTACATTTGTTTACAATTTTTTTTTTTTTGTTTTTTTTTCTTTATATTTTTTTTGTAGTTTTATTGATGTCAATGTGTACACGTGAGCGTTGCTTTTATCAGTTATAAAATTTTGAAGTTATGTTTTCCTCTTTTTGTAGGTTTGTGTATTTGTTCATTAATTGCTTCGGGTTTATATTTTTGCTTTTGTTTACATAATTTCATTATTGTTCTTGGAATTGCACTGTCACTTAATCTTCCCCTTGTATGTTATCTGAAATTACTTTTTTATCTCTAGACATAAATCATAAAGTGAATGCGTTATGGTGTTATTGTGTCGTTGCGTTTCTGCACCATAGACATATACTCCATGTCCTCATTAAATCACATATAAAAATATAATCTGCTGTCAAACAGTTCTAAAATGTTTGAAATGCTATCACGTTTGATAGTTTATCATTTCGATATTTGCAGTGTTTCACTGATCCATTTTCACAACAGTGCAATCCATAGCAAACTTGTCAAATAACTTACTTTTGATCATTGACACTTGTGTTTACATCATGTCATTTCCTTGTTCTTTGAAGAAATATCAAATACTTCAATATTCTAATATTTACACTTCCTTAGAATTAAAAAGTTTACTTGTATATTCAGAGAATAAATCATATTGAGAATATTCTGCTGACATACAATTAAAGTAGATAGCATTGTACTTACTCACAAGTTAAAACAATCAAACATGGATCTGTTTCTTATGTTTTGAGACCATTTTTTGTAGACAAAAACAAAATCAAATACAATTGAGAATGGAAATGGGGAATATGTCAAAGAGACAACAACCCAACCAAAGAGCAGATAACAGCCGAAGGCCACCAATGGGTCTTCAACGCAGCGAGAAAACCCCGCACCCGGAGGTGGTCCTCAGCTGGCCCCTAAATAAAATTTTGTACTGGTTCAGTGAAAATGAACGTCACACTAAACTCCAAAACATATAAAGGAACTAAAATTAAAAAAACATCCAATACTAACAAAGGCCAGAGGCTCCTGACTTGGGACAGGCGCAAAAATGCGGCGGGGTTAAACATGTTATGTGAGATCTCAACTCTCCCCCTATACCTCTAGCCAATGTAGAAAGATGTTTTAAAATACTTCCTTTTAGGACAACAAATCACAAAATATAAAGTGTTTTTGAAAATTGACTTCGATTAAATGAAACATTTAGAATACAATGAAAACTAGTTAGTTTATATATATATAAATTATGAATTTGCACTTGAACTAAATGTTGAACTCCGTCAGGCAAAGATGAAAAAAGACGTATTCCTGTTATATATCCACCAAAATGTTTGTTATTTTTTATAATGTTTGTTGTGTATTGATTTACAAAGTTTGATAACACAAATATGTTTAAAATTCTTTTGCCAAGTTTTTCTATTCAATTAAATGAATAGTACATAAAACATTTTAATATATAACCCATCTTGGAAAATATACTGCACTTGCAATATAAACATCGACTCGCGATAATATTCATGCATTAAGCCTGTAACATTTTTACTTGAGAACTGTCTACCTATGTAACAATTATTATTTAACAGTTGAAAACAAAGAACGGTAAACTTCTCCAAACACTAAGAATAATACCTTGGACCTTTGGAAATCACACAAAGTGTGCATGTCGTTGCGAAAATTCTTTCTTAATCTCTATGAAAACACAATCTATGTTTTCTTGAGATTTCTGTGTTGTGATTGATAATCATCAATATTTACGTACCATTTATTTTTCGAATTTTCGAATGTTGGATATGAATAAGAGGAAGTAGCATTGTGCAGATGTTCTAACTGAGTCTTCTCATCCTAGATTCCAACATCATAGAATGCAATTATATACGAAATTTTACTTGAATATAGAACCAGGACGGGTTGCACTAGTGGGGTAGGATTTGATTATCCTACCGGAGCACATGGCTTCAACCCCTGTGTTTTATCGTGATTTGTATTACTAAATCTTTAGTTTTATTTGTAGCGATTTGTGGAAAATTGGTTATTATTTCGTCAGTTTTCATTTCGATCATAGTGTTGTCATGACCTATAGTTGTTAACTTCTATGTCATTTGGTCTCTGTTAGAGAGTTGTCTCATTGCCAATCAACCACATCTTCTTATTTATATATATGTTATACGAGAGGATTTTAATTTCAACAATGTGAATTTTCCATTTCTGGGCTACATGATTCCAGCATATGTAATATAGATCTTCTAGTTGATACGACGTTCCAGGTCTCGCGTTTCATATCATGATTTTGTTGCTAGAGGAATGCTGCTTAAAAGGAAGCTATTAAACCAACAGTTCCAAACGGTAGAGTTGAAATCAATCCTACGAAAGTTTTATGGACGACATCATGATATTTTTTACCGTTGTAGAAGATTTGTGTCAAGGATGATCAGGATTATGTTCAATAGCCTTAATCATAACATCATAGAATGCATTTATATCCGACATTTAACTTCAATACAGTACCACGACGGGTGGCGTGCGTGGAGTAGGATTTGATTGCCCTATCGGAGCACATGACTTCAACCACTGTTTTCTGTGGGATTTGTATTACTCAATCTTTAGTTTTATTTATAGCGATTTGTGGAATATTGCTTATAATGTCAACTGTTAATTTCGACCATAGTGTTGTTATTGCGACTTACTGTCTTTGTTTGCCACTTTGGTATTTCCTCGCTATTTTTTATATAACATATTAGAGGTATGATTTCATTATCATCAGATTGGATACTTTAGCATCCGTTCAACAACTGGAAAAACTCATAATAGAAACTTGACTAATAATTTAGTACACCCGACGCGGGTTTCATCTTTATAATACTAGTCCTCAAGTGGCATTCGAATCTGAACATTTGGAAAGCCTAATTAAAAAGGAAGTTGAAGCGCATTAGACACCAATATATCCCAACATTTGTGCAAAACAAAAGCGCTTAGACCATCTTATTGTTATATTGCATTAAAAGCGGGAGGTTTGGCTAGCCACAAAACCAGGTTCAACCCACCATTTTTTTCTTAAAATGTCCTGTACCAAGTCAGGAAAATGGCCACTGTTATATTATAGTTCGTTTCTGTGTGTGTGTTACATTTTAATGTTGTGTTTCTGTTGTGTCGTAGTTCTCCTCTTATATTTGATGTGTTTCCCTCAGTTTTAGTTTGTAACCCGGATTTGTTTGTTTCTCAATCGATTTATGAATTTCGAACAGCGGTATACTACTGTTGCCTTTACTTGATACGGGTTTCCGTTTATTTTATTTATTTCATTAGATCAGGATTTCGACAAAATGTTGATAGAACGAACTATGTGTCTTAAAATGTTACTAGTGATGCAGAAAATCAAACCAGAACTATAAATGAACTTTTTAGACAACAAGTTAAAACCATTTAAACGCCGAAAGTTACCCTGCATATTCTAATTTCCCATAATATAAAAAATAAAAAAAATATCTTTAAATTACCAGGTAACAATATAAATTTTTCGAAATTATGAAACCTGTTGGTCGCCGAGGTATGGTTGCCGAACAATCTGGTCTGGAATGTTAGTCTTGATGTATCATTTGCAAAATAGTCATTGTTCTGCACTTGTATGATTTATGTGCAAAGTACGATGTATTCTCATATTACAACAAACTAGTTTCTTACTGTTTTAAACCAACAGAACCTTACATGTTTTTATTTTATTTTTTTAATTGTTTTTTTTTTTTGCAAACCATTTTGATAAATACCTCACAAATGCTCACCTATTTATATTTGAAATGGTCTTTTGTTTTGAATTCATGGTTTTAAAAATGCCTAATTTTGAGCAAGACATGCAAATTGAAATAGCACATGTTGATATAATACACTATTATGTTTGGCTAAAATTGGACGGAAACATCTGAAGGAATATGAAAAAAGTTTACCTTTGTTTGAAATGGCCAAAAATATAGAAACATTAACGGTCTAAAGAAATAAAAGGAATAAAATTTAAGGTGGTACCTAACACTACAGGGAGATAACTCTGTAAAAATCAGCTAAACGTTTTAATTACGTTGTATTGTTTAGGAAATATTAAGCTTCTCAATGATCAAAATTAGTGTTTGTCAAACTGCTATATAACCAATGAAATTTTTCTGATAAAGTGGTTGGTTCAAATTTTTTGAAATTTTTATATTTTTGTCAAAGGGTCAAAGTAAACATTTTGTCAAAATTTTATGAAAATTAAACGAGCCAAATTTATATTAGTCAAGGTGTTGGGTACCACCTTAAACAAAAATATAATACCGTTAGGACAAACAAATCATTACATAGAAAAAAGAAAAAGCAAATTAAGATAAAGAAAAAAGGATAGATACAATGTAACTGACACCAACCTCTTATAAAGTCGACAGCTTGTTCTAGTCCATATATATCCCTATCGCAGTCGTCTTTAGATAATACACCTATACTAAATCCTGGTAGAAAATCTCCTTCGTTAATCCTATCTAACGTGTACATCATACATTCCAGAGCTTGAATGCCACCTTGTGGCATGATAGGACCACATATTTTATTATCGCTCCTTTCGTGGACCATGTGTAAAGCTCCAAGTATTATATCACCTGGAATTTCGGCCTGTAAATCATGACGAGGCCAGGTATAATTTCCATATTTACCAACGTATACCACGCCAGGGTCTTTGTGGAGTGAGGCGAGAACCACTGAGTGTATAATAACAACGAAATATCCCACATTTCTTCTCATAGTTCCAGTAAAGTTGTGAATGTTAAATAATTAGAATCTGAAGAATCCATAGCCTTCGGCTACCGATCATCCAATAGTAGAAACAGTAATCAGGAACATGGTGTCAATATCGCTACAATTATAATCAACATTGTTACTGGCTTTGTCAACTACAATATAAGATAACAGTTTTATCATGGGCATTTCCATAATTAGGTAAATTATATGAATTCTTGTATATTTTTAAATAAAACACTAATTGATTTATATTTTTTTATTTTTACAAACTAAGAGATGTAATTCACGTGTGCGTTAAAATATTTCTTAATATCCTATCTTTCAGCAAGTACGTACAGAGCTGCCAAATGACTAATATATTTAATGTAATCTGTCGACTTTATACTTCGAAAGATATATAGAAAAATATGAAATGGTTTATATAAGTTTGTTTAAACATAAAGTGTAATGTTTATTTCGTTTTTATTTTCTTTGCATAAAGATCATTTCTATTATTTTCATCAGTCACTTTGATTGTTAACTAAGTATTCAGCTTACACCTACACAATCTTAAATGCCTGAACACTTTTCATATGTACTTTCAGAAATATATTTTATGCTAATGTTTCGAGGCTGTCACATGGTGACAGTGCTAGTTTTTATCCATATTGATATCGGTTCTTATCGCAAAATTAATGATTCCTTTATACTTATTTCTGGCATTTTATCTTATTTGATTCTCTGTAATTTTGTTAACATTTGAGCTGAGTCGGATAGAAATCGACCTTTTGCAAGTGCACGTATACATGTACCTTTAAGACTTTAAGTGATTTTGGAACATTTAAATTCGAAATAAAAGATGAATTGGGGTCTATTTTGTAGGGTTCTGATAACAACTTAATTTTCAAACAGTTAGATACTTTCCGTAGAGATTTTTTCAACCCGAAATAGGTTAACAGATGTTTTAATATTCATTTGCATAAGGTTGATTTCTATCCGATGCAGCTCATTTCTTGTTGCTTGTCAAATGATTTAATTTTGTTCCTTAGTTAAATTTTGTACATATGTTCATAATAAAATAGTTGCCATATTTCGCGGATCAATGAACATAGAAACGTATCAGGTTAAGGTTTACTTTATCTGTAGTTTACTTTAAATGATTTATCTTAGAAGGTTTTGGATATTATTGTTAGGTCTCTTTTAGTCAAATAGCTCTTCAGCTATTTATACATCCCCAGTTTTTCATATTTTTTTAACGTTCCGGATGAAGGTAAATCGAGAAATAAAATTTGTTTCGAAAATTAGACTCTGTGATAACAACGTTTTTGTACATCAGTCTAATAAAAGAAGGAAAGGATTGTGTCTGCCTAAAAACTAAAAACGGTGGAAAGTTGTATAGTTAAACCCAGTTTGCAGCAATCCACAATTTCCATTAAAAGAGTGAATTGTTTTAACAAACAGTAGTTTGTATTCTAATTCGGGTAAACAATTAGTTTTTTGAAGCACATTTCATTGAAACAGTGTATAGTCCGGGTTGTTTTATTCAAAAGAACGACCTATCGTTCTGAAGAGAAATAACTCCAAATAGGTATATAACAAGTCTTAATCCGGATAATCATTTTTGAAAAAAAAAACAAATTTCCTTCTCATTCGCTTGTATACCTTTTTAGAAATCTGTCACATCCTTTATAAAACGTAAATAGGAGACATCAGTATTAAAACAAAACAAGGAACCAAACATTATCAGCCATTCATTTATCATCAAATGCCTCTACACTTCAAAGAAAAACCACATGTAACTAGATATATTGTATAAAATGGGATATGAGGAGATTAGAGAAATTACAAGATAAAACCTGGAAATTTTCTATAATAGGAAGCGTCAATGTATTTCACAAATGAACTGAATAATAGATGTTTTTGTTTTTATGATCTTTAAATTGATTTATTTTTTAACAATATAATCCAGCAAGTAATGAAAATTATCCCATTGAACAAAATATACATCTATGGTAAAAACGAAAGAGAAGATATCAAGGAGTTTATCAAAATTTTATTAAATTAAATAAAAACAGACAACAATCGCCAAAAAGAAATACGACGTAAAGACAACCCACTATAACAAAACATTACACAGAAATTTAAGCCTGAGTAACTATAACTTAATTAAAGATAGGATATAAACTGAGGTATTCCGGTAGGATAAGCAGTTCCTGCGTCGCTGGTGGCATCTGTCGAGTTTCTATATAAAGATAGATTTACGTGTACATGTATCGATGAAATCCGCTTAGTCTATATGGTAGAGACGTGAATACTTATAATGGTGTCGTAAAGCAAAGTCTTTACTTGAATCATAATTGATATCCTAGTGCATTTTTAGCTTTGATATATTGTATAGACACTGTTCTTTTGTTAAACCGTATCATGCTATTCCCTTAATTTGTGTTTGTTACCTTTATTTGTCCCTCCCTTGTCGATTCATGAGATTTAAACATTAGTAAAGTACTGTCGCCTGAATTAGACATATTGTACAATAACTCGTTAATTAATATAATTTTAATTATCATCATCATAATCTTCTTCATCATCATCATTATCCTTGTCGTGTGTGGCACGTGCTGCCTTTTTTGTTACTCCATAATTTAATTATTATTCATCAAGAACAAAAGCTGAAAATAACACGAAGGGGAAATGATGCATTAGTGATTCGTGCCAGACAGGATTAGCTTAATCTGGTATTCCATATTTCCCCTGTGATGTGTAGTTTTATTCATTTTAATAAGTATTAATTTTTGTTTATATTCTATTTCCGCCTTAATGAATAAACATTTGGGTAAGATTAATGACTAATGAATCGGTGGATTCCTTGGCACACCTTCTAAATTATGCTTTAATTTCTTTGCAAAAAATGACATGAAGTGAATAAGTTCATATAAACATTTTAGTCATTTTATTTTTTCAGAAAAATCGTTAATTTATTCAGCATGTATAAATGAAGTTAGCCACTATATTACCTCTTTAAATGAAACGTATATTCAATTGTATATTTAATATAGGATTAAAGACATTTTTTAAAAGGTTATGGATGTGTAAAATAGGCTTTATGAATGGCAAACTGAATATAAGTCTGAAGGCTTTCATGTAATGTTAATGAGTCAGCAGCCCAGCTTCGACATCAATAACCTTTTAAAAAATGTGTTTAAGGTGGAACATAACACTACAGGGAGATAACTCTGTAAAAATCAATTGAACTTTTTAATCTCGTTCTATTATTAAGAAAGTATTAAGCGTCTCAATGATCAAAATTAGTGTTTGTCAATCTGCTAAATATCCCATGAAAATTTTTCCGATAAAGTGTGTGGTTCAAGTTTTTTGATTTTTTTATATTTTTGGCAAAGGGTCAAAGTAAATATTTTGTAAAAATTTTATGAAAATTAAACGAGCCCAATTGATTTTAGTCAAGGTGTTTAGTACCACCTTAATCCAACTCTCAAATCAATTATTTTTCATTCTTTACTTTAAACTTCATCTTTCTTTGAACCTCAAGGATTTCATTGATGTACATCGCGCATGAATATATCACAGTTAAAGCAACACATATTTACATAGATAACGAAAGTAGTTTAGGCAACATGCCATATTGAATAGATGATTTTAACGGATCAAACAAATTCAAGTATGTGTAGCTATTCCAATTATATAACAATAACAAAATAGGTTACAGTCTTGGCCATTGACGAATCAAAATTTAAAATTATTATGATCATCCAGTACTAACTTATACGATGTTGTAATGGCAACATAAGATTCATTCCGTCATGCCTACCGCTTTTAAATAAACTTATCCTAGATACCAGGCTTAAAAATTGAACGCCAGACGCGCAGATCTCGTCTACAAAAGACTAAAGTAACGATCGAAAAGTTAAAAGGCCAAATAAAAAACGAAGCTAAAGAGCATTAAAAGTGAATCTTTATCAGGCCCTAATTTTAAAAAGAGCAGTTTCTATCATAACTTCAGTAAGAAGCAAATATTCGTAAATATTCTTCTTTAAAAAAAAGTTAACCTAGTATTGACTTTCTTCATCATGTTCATCTTTTTCTTCTATAATTCAACCTTGAATATATATTTTTGAGTTGATTCAAGGAGATTTTTATAAAGTTTAATTGCTTCAGGTCAAACAAATATATAATGTTGATACAGTGATGTGAATATCTGAAATGCCGGTTTTAAAGCAGCCGAATTTAAATAAATTGAATTTAGTGACATTCGTGACATGATCATTAAACAGAATTCTCTGTTAGAAACTAAAAGAACGTTCATAAATGTACTGTCAATGCCGGATTTAAAGTTGTTGTTTTACACTAATCTTGTTACTAAAAACAATGAGTTTGTAAAGTCAATTTTCGCTGAATACTCTGTTCTGCTTTTGTTTACTAACTGATAAGTAGTTGAACAAAATAGACATACATGTACACGTTAGCTTCTGTGTGCAAGAAATCATAGTTAAATATGAAAATAAAATGGGAAAAAAACACCACTGAAAGTCGATTTTGTTTGAAATTGTAGAAGCCATTTAACACAAGATACTGCTCATGTCCATAAATCATGCAATAAAATACGACATCATCAAAATATTGTATATTTCAATACGTTGTTGAAAAATATAACGCTGCACAGTGAGATAATACACCACCAACCCACTAGCAAGAAAATAAAACCCATTATGTCAGTTTGGATTGGTCACCCAATTTTATCAATATAACGGAACTTTAAACAACCATCATATAAGTGAGAGGTTTAAAACCAGGTTTAACCCACCATTTTGTTCGGAAAATACCTGTACCAAGTCAGGAATACGACGTTGTTTTATTACTTGTTCCGTTGATTGATATCGTAATTATGTACTTCCCCTTTTTAAATTTGCCTTTTAGTTTCGGTATTTTTGTTATACTTTTTTGATTTACCGGAGAAGACACTAGTACTGCTTAGAATATAAGTAGGGTTGTAATTCATTAATTTATAA